GGTTACCTCATGGGTATCTGCTGTTACATTTATATGTCACATTTATATTTATATGTTACAGTTATATGTCTGTAGTGCCCTCCTTTTCTTTAAGACAAGGACATTTGCATTCTCTGCTTTTTATTTAAAGTATGCTTTTTAACTTTACACCATATAAGTTTGGAAGTGACTTCAAGCCATTCATGGATTTTAGGTGGCACAAATAGCAGTGACAAAATTGGCTTTTGCTAGGGCTAAAGGAGGTAGGAGTACTATGCTGAAGCATCCTTTTTTTGTTACCAGCATATTTTAATAAGCATTTCAGTGGGCTTGACTTTGAAAAGACCAGGAGCTTGTTTTTCTGCCAAACTTTATCAAATTTAGCATGTGGTCTGACATATGGCAACTTGGATATGAGCATGCAGAACTGACTAGCTGAGTGCTAAGCAGGTCATTTGCCTGTACAGGCCTGTTGATTATGTGAACATGGGACTGATGGGCATTTTCCAGTAACCAAAGAGCAAATCCTGTCACAGACTGAGCTGCCACCACTCTCTTGGCAATGGACATGGAATATTTACTCAGTGCTTTGCTGAACATGGACTTTTGTTTTAATCTCATTCTAACTGCATAGAGGTGGTACTGTCTTTTTAGTTTCATCCTTCCATTCTTTATTTTAATATGTTTATTTTTTATGCCTTGTTTTAGTTTCCAGTGGCTGACTAGCACTGTTTTTGTACTGAGTTTCTCTGCTTCATCAGGAGACTCTGACAGTTCTCCTGGATGCCAAGTGTTCCAAACTGACAGGCTGCCTGTGTCATTTTAAAAACCTGACAGTCATCCTGGAGTCTCCTCGTTGCTTCTGTTCTTGCTCCTAATCTCTTTCTTTCAGATGTTCACTCATTCAGTTAATTCTTCATCCTTTTTCAAACGATTTTCCTCTATGTTGTGGATACGAATCTTGTGATTTTAATTTAAAAGAAAGTTGAGATCTGAAGACTCAATGTGTTTGAGTGTGTGAATGTATTAAAAGCAATAATTTGTATTATTCAGTTTCTGAAGTGATTCTACAGAGGCATTCTGAAAGATATTACATTCTAAAATGTATATATTGTATACATTCAGTATATGTATACTGAATTTACTTGTAAGCTTCAAAATATAATTTTTATTTGTTTGTTTGTTTCACAAACTTCAGTTCCACAGTGCTGCTCAGTTTCAAGGAACAACTTACAAGTTCCAGAATATACACTTAAGTAGCTGTTAATGCTGAATTTTTGAACCATGGTGCATTGTTAATGAATGATCCTCATTCATATTCCTGCTGGAGTATTTACAGCAGGACATCCTGCATAACAAGTGAAATTTAACAGATCAAAAATTTGGCACCTTTTTTTTTTTCTTCCTAGAGTTGGCTTTTCTAAGATCTCAGTCTCTGATACAACTCTTATTTTGATTTTAAATAAAGCCTAAGCATAAGAATATACTTGTCTATTCAGGAACATTGGGTTTTTTTCAAGAAACAATGCAATCCCTGTCAGATTTGCCAACTACATCCACCTTCTGTGGACTGGGCATTCTTATTAACTGAGATTGAGAAGTTTCAGTGTGAGCAAGAAGCAGAAGATTGTTTTGGAAAACCATATCACACAAAGGTTGTCCTCTTTACTAGTGACGTGCAACTATATTCTATAATAATTTCTATTTTCTCAGTTGCTTGGGTAAGGTTTTCTACAAATTTACAATTTTTATTGTATACCAAAAAGCCAAATACATATGTAAGTAAATTTCTGTATTCTTTGGGACATTAAGTACTCAGTAGGATTTTTTAAAAATAAACTTAATATGAATGTTCTTCAATAAAAAAATGACCTTAAGAATTTAAGATCTTTTAATTTCTTTTAAATGCAACTAATACAGACAAAACTGCTTATGTTAGTAAATTAGTAAATTAGTATTCCAAACATGTAGTCTCCCCTCAGAAAATGTTGTGAGAAAATTATCTTGAAGTTACCACAAGGTATGTGCAAATTTGGAAAATCATAATAGGAGGTGGTTATCAGTTGTTTACTGCCAACCTAGAAGGCTGAATGGAGAAGAATCCACTTAGATTTATTCTGGGTCCCGTATTATTCAGTATTTTTGTTACTGACTTGCCTTATGAAATATGGATGATGCATATAAAATTTACAGATGCTTAAAGCTGGAAGAGGCTTTAAGCAATGTGGGAGCAGGTTAGAATGGATCCTGATGAAACAGAGCATTGAAATATTAGGATGTGGTTCAGCAAGGAGAAATACAAAGTTAAGTTCCTGAAGAAACAGAAATCCACAGTGCAGATGGGCTGGTTAAGTGGCAACTCAGTAAAAACAGATCTAAGTATTATGCCACTTGTGGCCAGTGTGTGGTCCTCTCTATTCATAAAATTAAAGAATGGTTTGGGTTGGAAGGGATCTTAAAGGGCATCTCATTTCAACCCATCTGCAGTAGTTGGGCAGGGGCACCACCCACTAGACCTGGTTTCTCAAAGCCCCAGTCAGCCTGGCCTTGAACACTTCCAGAGATGGGGCATCCACAGCTGCTCTGGGCAGCCTGTGCCAGTCCCTCATCACCCTCACTGTGAAGAATTTTGTCCTAATATACAATCTAATCCTACTCTCTTTCAGTTTGAATCCATTCCCCTTTCTTCTGCCCATACATGCTCTTCTTTTACAAAAAGGACTGTCAGAAATGTACTTTAGCCCTATCCACATAACCTGAAATTGTAATAGCAGGTTCATGAAGTGTAGTTAGTTCTAGAAATTCTGCTTTTTCTGCCCTGGCAGAGTATTTGCCACATCCTTGGCTGTGTCTTTATCCAGCTTTCCTTACCCATGGAAGAACAACAGATGTCTGTTTGCTGTATCTTCAAAGTCTACTTTGAAATGACCAAGTATAATCTTTTTCATTATTTGCTCAAGTAAGAAGCAGCCATCAAACTCTAGTCTTACCACATACAGCCCTGCTTATTGGTTCAGTGTACATTACATCTTTTGAGCTTATTTTGCTGCTGTTGCTTTTATTGACAGATATTTATTGCTTAAATTAATAAAGGATTGTAATTTGACTTGACAGCTTAGATTGCCTGATGTATCTACACTGACTTCCACTACATCACATTTTTTTGTCTACCTTATTTCTAAACTCGTCTGTGTTTTGCAGCACCCTCTGGTTGTTCTTTTGCTTTTGTTCCCTAGAATAAACACCACAGTTAGTCCTTGTTATTTTCTTCTCATGAAGAGAGGAAATCAAGTTGCTGCTCAGCCTTTTTCATCAGCTTAAGGAGATTAAACTCTAAATCTTGGTAGCTCTGCCCTACAAGCTCTCCATTTTTCCACCAGTCTCTTTAAAATGTGTACACCAGACCTTGGCACTTAGTATGTCATCACTGTTTGTCAATGACATATATAAAAATCATCTGGAGCTTGTACCTGGGGGTGGCTTATGATCTGTTGTGTCAGGATGACACTCACTTCAGAACTGCTGTTTTCCTGGGAACGCTTCCTCAGTATGTATTACCCATGGTTAAATATGTATGACTGTGTTAAAACACATGTTGTCTGACCACAAAGACAACAAAGGAGCTCAGGTTGTTCTCTGTGCCTGCTCTGTCCTTGTTCCCCTTTCCTGCTCCTTACTTTCTCTAATTTCTCCCAGCTTTCAAAGTTCTCTCCAGTCTTCTTGGCTACAGTTTTATTAATTTATATGTTTTTCTGGAGCTCAGCCAAATTGACTGGCAACAGGCAGCTGTGTCTTCCTGCCTAAAGAACTTCCTTAGTACAAACGAGTTTTTTCCAGCCTGACTCAGTGTTGCCTGAAAGAACATGCTGCTGTCTTGCATCTAACTACAACAGATTTTAATTGTCATTGATTCTTAATTACCCTAATATACAGAAAATATGAGCTTATTATGGACTGTTGCATTAAGTCAGTTGCATTGCCAATTTTTATATAGGTTCTTCTGTTGTGTTGATTTCCCTGATTTCAAACTGTACAATGAAACTGGGATGGGTATTCTGAAGGAGGGGGATTTATTTGTTTGTTTTTATTATTTCCTCAACTTAGCAGGTAGGCAAAGCCATATGCAACTACAATGCAGGTCTGATTTTATTAAATCCTGTAAAATTCAGGAACAATTGGCATTACTGGGCAAGTTCATGTAAGGTGTTCTGATTTTCCTCCATTCCTAGTTACCACATTACATTTCATTTGTAATGTGTTAAGGAATCACATTTTTCAAGAATTTCACTAGGGTTTTTATTTTAATATTCCTAGCATTTATTTTAACAGAGTAAAATATGTTTCAAAATAGTTCTACATCTCTCTGATAGAAATAGATAAAAATGAGTTCAGTATCTCTAAATATTTAAAGAGAACAATATAGAGAGAAGCTAAAAAAAAAAAAAGAATATGATCTGAAGCTTATTATATTTCCAGCCTATAGATTAAGCAGGTGATACCCTTCCATATACCTATTTGTTATTGTGTTTTGCCCTTCAGCACCTACTTTTTCTTAAATGTATGGCTATTCTCTCTGGTTTTGCATTTTTGATGCTACTTCATTTCTTACATAGCCAGTTGTAAGTCCTGGAAAGAACAGGAGATCTCCGTCTCCACTGGACGGGACAGAGCCAAGCAATCTTTATGTAGTAAATGAGGCTTTATGTGTTTCCCTCTATGCTCTGTTTGTGACACTTAAAGCTTTACAGAGATGCTGAGACTGTTAGAAAAGGCTATTGTTTACGAGTGCAGTTGGATTCAGGTCAGGGATTTAACCCCATTCCCGGTGGTAAGATGGAGACCTACTTATAAGCATGTTCTCCAGAGGCATTTGTGGTCCCACAATGGTCTGAAGAGAGCTACAAGGGTTGTTTTAAAGGGAAGGGTGATCTACACAGCTGCTGCTGTTGTCCTTGCTCATGGAAAAGGGGTTTTTCACTGCAAGTTTTCCACTTTGGAGCAGATGACCTGTTTTGTTCTAGGTGACTGGTATGAACAGCTCTATCCACTGGTGATTACACTGAAGGACTGCATGGGAGAAGTGGTGACCAGGGCCAAGCAATCCATGGCGTTTGTCCTGCTCCAGGAACTTGCCTGTGATTTGCCCCAGTGTTTGATGCTGACCCTAAGAAGAGACATCGTCTTTAGCCAAGCAGTAGGTTGTCTTGTGTCACTTACTTCTTTCTGTTGCTGTAATTATAAGCATACTGTTCATGCCAGTGTTTGTGGTTTTCTTTTTTGTTGGTTTTTTCTTCCAATTTGACACAACTTTTTCATTTATTTTCCATGATATTCACCTAAATATTTTTATAATGTGATAGGAGACTAAATAGTAAGTAGAAATCCATAGTACTTCTATCACTGAGTCAGAGAAGCAGGTCTGCAATGGACTGAAAAAGTTGCCTAATCCTGCCTTTGCACAAAGAAGGATCCAGAAATCTATTTTTAGACTTCCTACATTATATAGTTCTCAAGTCTAGCTTTGAATATATTTTGCTGATATTCATAATCACCGAATCACAGAATAGGTAGGGTTAAAGGACTTCTGGAGATCATCCAGTCCAAGCCCCCTACCAAGGCAGGGTCGCCTGAAGTAGGTGACACAAGAACACACTCAGGTGGGGTTGGAATATATCCAGAGAGGGGGACTCCAAATTCTCCTTAGTCATCCTGTTCCAGTGCTCTGTCACCCTCAGTGTAAAGAAATTCTTCCCCATGTTGAGGTGGAACATCTTGTTTTAGTTTATGGCCTCGTCCTATCGCTAGGGACCACTGAAAAGCATCTGGCACATCCTCCTGGTGCTCACTTTTGAGGTATTTTGTGCATTCATGAGATCCCCTTCAGTCTTCTCCAAACTGAACAGGCCCAGCTGCTGCAGTCTCTCCTCATAAGAGAGATGCTCCAGACCCAAACCATCTTTGTGTTCCTCTCTGGACTCTCTCCAGTAGCTCCTTGTCTTTCGTGCCCTAATGAGCCCAGAATTGAACACAGCACTCCAGATATGGCCTTACAGGGCACTGGCTGGGCAACATCCAAGCTAGGGGGAGTTTTTTCTCCTGGTTACCTTGGAAATAGAAAGCAGATTATTTGTTTTCAGTTTGTAGCACTATTTTAAGTGTTTAAAGACTATTAGCATGTCTTTCCTTAGAACTGTCTTCCCTTGGCAAATATCTGAAGCTCTTTATGCCTTCTCCTGTAGATCACGTTTTTTCAGATAGATTTTTCTCTAAATATTTCTCTTACTTTCTTCCTTCAGTTGTACGTTGCAACTTCCAAGGAGATTCAGTTGCATTAGATGTTGAACCACTTTCAAATCCATCATAATTCACATGTTTAATTCACATAATTCACATCATAATTCACAGTCTTGCATGTTTAAAGCCTGACAAGTGAATTTCTGGTCTGATTTATGTCAGTGTAAATAACACAACGACACAAAACACATAAGGCTTATCTAATATAAATTAACAGAATATTTCACTACTTTATATACTAAAAAAAAGCATCAAAATACGTTATTATGAAATAATGTATATAGTCACTAAACAGAAATACCTATGCTGTTTTCTCAAATATGGAGGTGTTACCTCTGCTGTGTATAATGATAGCAAGCCTCATTTTAACTGTTTGTCTTGTAACAGGACACCTCTTCATTGCACGTGTTTTCATTATCTTTACAGCTTGCTGGATTGGTCTGTGGTTTCGTAATCAAATTGCACACAGGTTTACATGATCAAGGATTTTTACAACAGCTTCATACTGTTGGATTGCTCGTGCAATATGAAGGACTTCTTAGTACATATAGTAAGTATTGTTCTTAGACAAAGTGTACCCAACCCAGAAGTTTACCCAGGAAGTTCTTATTTTAACCCCTGATCTGTTTCCAGTATTTTGTCTTGTTGACTCAAATACCATCCTTACAAGACAGTAGACTTGCACAACTAAAATCATTGATACTGTGTTGTCAATTCTGCAGCAAAAATTATAAATCTATTTCATTCTGAGTTCCGCAGAGAACACGACCTGCTAATTGTTGCATGCAGACCTGACAAAAAATACCACATTTATAAAGCTAATCCAAATAGCAGATTTAAATACTTACTGCCTTTATCAGCCTTGGCCATGATCACCAGTGCTGATAATGTGAAGATAGCCTGGAAACTGTTTCATAGTTTGTTACAGATACCATTATTTGATATGTATTAAAAAGGAAATTTGGAGGGAGAAATTGCCTTATGTTTCAAACTTTGAACTAGATCTATTGGAATTATTCCCCAAATCAGAGATTTTGACTAAAGTAGAGGAATTTAGCATTTGTGCAGCTTTTTAATGTAGTTCCTACTTGGAAATAGCTATCTTCTCCATTTTGCATGATGCATGTTGTTATTCTCCATTTTGCATGATGCATGAAAACCGTTGTCCTCCATCAGCAGGGCAGCCTTTTAAACACTTTCAGAATTGACAAAAATGGCTTTTAGGAGGTTATTCTGTGCCTGTATAGAGCAGGCTGATTTTCAGAATTGCTTAATACTCATAGTTACCACTTAGGCCACAGAACTGTCAGCAGTTCAAGAAATTAGTCTCATTCTATGTAGGCTACTGTAATGTGGATTTAGAACTGTGATTTTTAGATGCACAGGCTGGAAAATATAATCCTCATATTTCTTTAACCTATACATTGACTAATCTGCCACCTCTGTTAATAATCTCTTTCATCTTTTCATGTAGGTGAAGAAGCAGGGATGCTAGAAGACATGGCTGTGGGCATTTCAGATTTGCAGAAAGTAATGTTTAAAATAATTGAAGCCAAATCAGAAGATTTCTTGCCTATTATAACTGGAAGGCGGTAAGAACTTTGTTTTTTGGAGCCTGGGAAATAAAGCTACAGTTTTAATCTGTAGCCCGTGAAACACAGCTAATGGTTTTCTTGTTGCTGAATTCTATTTTATGGAAAATGCAATAGTTTTACTTTTCAGAAGGTGAAGTAGTATGGATTCTAAAGGCCAGTAAGCTCTGGGTTACTGTCCTGATAAAAAGCTAAAATTTCCAGTTACTAATACAAATTAATCAGAACAATGCCTGTGTTGTGCAGAGCTACCGGTTCATTATTCACACATAGATACTGAATGCTAGAGAGGTGACAAGGTCATTATTTACAAATGTTGTCTGTAACTGAGAAGCTTTGGTATTGAATGTCCAGAATTTGTATTTCAGTGTGAGAAATAAAATTGCAATTCCAAGAGTTATACCTTAATTGATTTTAAGATGGAAACCAAAAAACTCAGATGCCACTTAGCATTCAAAACTTAGTGGTCACTTTTAAAAATGGAAGCCTTTTTTAGCTGCTGAAGATCACACAGGACATACTCAATCTCAGAAATCCTTGCACAAAATCACTTATCATTTATGAATCTCACATAAGTACTGCTGAAGATCAGGACATAAACTGCAATACTCCATTAATTTTGGCTATTTGAGGGTTAACAAGATTGGGATGGATTTTTCATCTTTATTATTACTCTAGTCTGAAGCTCCAAATGCTTTTATTTTGCAGAAATCACTTCCTTAATAGTATCATTATTCTTAAGATGACTGTAAATTAAATTCAGCAACTTTCAGAAAATATGTGTTTCCTCTGAAGGGGGTTTTCCCCACTGGTTTTTTATTATTCTGGATGATTCACTCTCATTGTATGGGCTTTCTGAGAAAGGATTGAAATAAATAACAGGAAGGCTGGAGTATGATAGGCAACACATTTGGAATAATTAAGAATAATTATGATGTGTGGATAAAACAGAAGAAATACATCCTTTGTAAATCACAGCAGTCAAAAATCCTGAAAAATCCAGCATCTACATTTGCTGGCTTGCTGCCATTACTGTGGTACCTGTTGTCACACCAGGAGGTCCTGGATTTGAAAGAGACCTGAGCTTTCAGCTGCCTCAGGCATTCTGGATTGATGGAGCAGCCAGTGTTTAGGAAGAGGAGCTACAGCTAGATTTCTGTACTGTACTTACTTGCAGATATTCACTGGATGGGATTAGTATCAGAAAAAAAATCTATAAGGCTTATGTGGAGGAGTCCCATTCCTCTTAGAGCTGTAATGAGACTGCTTCTATCAAACAGCATTGGAAATCAACCATAAAGAGAGAAGATGGTGAAAATCTAGATATTTTCTAATAATTGTTTAAGAAACCCTGCATTTTTAGATCAGTTTGGTTGTTATATGGTTATATGGTATGGCTCAATAAATGAGAGTAAAGAATGTAGAAACACAAGACAGAAAATCAAACTACAAATTCTTATCTTGAAGAGTCAGCATATTCACTTGTAATTATTTTTTCCAGGGAAGTGCTTAAATCTGACATTCTGTGCGTACAAACAAATCAATCCAATGTGTGTGCACTGTCTAGCAGTGCATGGACCTGGCGTGGGTAGCCGACACCAGCCACCCAGGGGAGGTGAAAATCTGTTCAGGAACTCTCATTCTTTTATTAGAGGCCAAAATATGCACTTTTTGAACATTCTTTACAGAATCACAGGATATTTTGAGCTAGAAGGGACCCACAAGCATCAAGTCCAGTTCCTGGCCCTGCACAGGACTTCCCAAGAATCACACTCGGTGCCTGAGAGTTCAAATGCTTCTTGAACTCTGTAAGGCTTGGAGCTGTGACTCTTCCTTGAGGAGCCAGTTCAACCTGCTCAGCTACTCTCTGGCTGAAGAAACTTTTCCTGACATCCAACCTAAACCTCCTCTGACACAACTTCAGTCTGTTTCCTCCTGGAGTCGAGACCTGTCACTGCTCACTGGAGAGAAGGGATCAGTGCCTGCCCTGCCGCTTCCCTTCCTGATGAAGTTATAACTGCAATGAGGTCTCCCCTCAGTCTCCTCCAGGCTAAACAGACCAAGTGACCTCAGCCACTCCTCATACAACTTCCCCTCGAGGCCCTTCACCATGCTCGTGGCCCTCCTTTGGGCACTGTCTAATGGCTCCATGTCTTTTTTATATTGTGGCACCCCAAACTGTCCCCAGCACTGGAGGTGAGGCCGCCCCAGAGCAGAGCAGAGCAGGACAATCCCCTCCCTTGCCCAGCTGGTGATGCTGTGCCTGATGCCCCCCAGGACACAGTTGCCCTCCTGGCTGCCAGGGCACTGACTCAGATCCAACTTTCCATTGACCAGGACCTCCAGGGCCCTTTGTACAGCGCTGCTCTCCAGCCTCTCATTCCCCAGTCTGTCTGTACACCCAGGGCTGCCCCATCCCAGGTGCAGAATCTGGCCCTTCACTTGTTGAACTTTCTACAACTGATGATTGCCCATCTCCCTAATTTCTTGAGGTCTCTGCAGGGCTTGTCTTCCCTCAAGGGAGCTGACACCTCCTCCCAGTTCACCATCATCAGCAAACTTACTTAGCATTTCTTTGAGCCTTTTGAAGAAGTTGAAGAGCTCAGGGCCAAGGATGGAGCCCAGCAGAACCCCACTAGTGACTGGACACCAGCCTGATGTCACCCCATTCCCTATAATCCTTTGTGCCCAACCTGTAAGCCAGTTGCTCACCCATTGCATAACATGGTTATCCATCTGTGTGCTGGACATTTTGTCCAGAAATATGGACAAGCTGTATCAAAAGTTTTGCTAAAATCCAAAAGGGTTATGTCTACTGGCTTTCCTAGATCAACTAGGTGGGTTCATTTATTAGAAGGCAGCTCAGAAAGCTGTATCCTGAGCTGCATCACAAGCAGTGTGACCATCTCCACAAGGCAGATGGCTTTCCCTCTCTGTTCTACTCTCATGAGACCCCACCTGCAGTGCTGCATGCAGCTCTGGGACCCCACATAAGAAGGATGTGGATCTATTGGAGTCCAGAGGGTTTAATGAAGATGATCTGAGGGCTGGAGCATTTCTCGTGGAGACAGGCTGAGAGGCTTGGGACTGTTAGCTTAGAGAAGACAAGGCTCCGGGGAGACCCTACAGCACTTTCCAGTACCAAATGGGGTTACAAGAGAGCTGGAGAGGGATTTTTACAAGGGCGTGGAGATACAGGACAAGGGGAAACGGATTCAAACTAAAAGAGGGGAGGTTTAGATTAGATGTTAGGAGGAAGTTCTTTGCTCTGAGTGTAGTGAGGGACTGAAGCAGATTGCACTATGAAGTTGTTCATGCCTCATCCCTGGAAGTGTTCATGACCCATTGGATGGGACTCTGAGCAACGTGGTCTAGTGAAAGGTGTCCCTGCCCGTGGCAGAGGAGTTGAATTTAGATGATCTTTAAGGTCCCTTCCAACCCAAACCATTCTATGATTGTGCACATGAACTTTGAGGTATCACAGTCTCTTACACCATGTTTTCAAGAAAGCCTAAGACTGGACTAGCACTTAAAGCCATGCTGAAGTAATCTAAAACATTGCACTCAGCTGAAAGAAGGGCTGGTTAAAGAACCTCCAAGCTGAGTTGCTGTGACTGACCATGTGTGCATTTTTTTCTTTTACAAAGCAAAGTTCATGTAAATTACTTGGTTTGGGTTTACTGCAGTGAGCAGTAATTTCAGCCAATTCAAAACAGCTGCAGGATCTGTGACACCCAGCCATGTGGGGGTTACCTTTTAGAAGCATTCTACCAGGATTACAAGTGTTTGTCTGTCTTCATATGTGATGATAATAAATATTAGAGAATAATGCAAGGAAAGAGAGGGATATTTTTAAGCAGTCCTGTTTAGGCAAATCATAGATATTTAAATATTTAAGACCTATATTTATATAGTTCCTTCTTAAATAGATGAAGATTTATTATTTAGTCTCTTAAAACACATGCTTGCTTTCTCCACTCTGTTTTCCTGGAAGGTCATTAAATGTTAAAAATTATGTACTGATTGTTCCATCTCATTGGAAAAATGTACCCACCTAATCCATCTCCCATCTCCTACCTGATAGCTCTGCACTGAATCTAGCCATGAAAGAGAGAAAGCATATCACAATAAAATTTAATGTTATATTCATTTTTATTCTTTAAATAGAATCATAGACCTGCAAGATTGTGACAAACTGATGTCAAACAAGTCCTCCAGATTTCTTCCAGTCCTCCAATACTTTGAATTGTTTCTCTTTTTTGCCTCCACTTGACTTCAGTACTATTTCTGGATTTTCTAGACATCTCTGTCATAGCTTTAGGCCTTTTCTGTCCACAATCAGAAATGCATTGTTTTCATTGTTCAATTGGTAACATACTTTTTAAAGTTACCAAGGATTTTCTCTGAGACTTCAAGCAGTGTTTTGAAAAAGAAAAAAGAAATAAAAAAAAAAAGTCAAGGGGGCAAGTCTCAGATTGTTCTGATATGCCTAAAGATCAGCATTTCTCAGTGTTCTTTCACATGCAGAGATTTGTAGCGATTTTGGGAGTAGTGAAATGTAACAATGCAGTGATTTGGTGGCAGTTTGGTTCTGTAGTGCATGCTCTTTGAATTAGACTAAACCAATGTTTCTTTTCTAGTTCATCAAAGCACTCCATCAGAGCAGTATTCTGGTAGCGCTTGACAGCAGCCAGCAGGCAGTCTGAGAATTAATGCTGCTATGCAGAGGTCATGGGAACCACATTCTTTACTATCCTTTTTGCTAATGCTCTATTTCTTTCACATGGGTGAATTAATTAAACAAAACACAAACTTACCTGGGAAGCAGAACTATTTTGGTTTTTGTCCCCCCTCCCTGAGACATGTATTCTCCACTCAGGACTGATATTCCCTTTCAGTGGGGAGCATCTGGCATTTGCTCAAAGACTACATGCCAGTTCTAGCCTGTACTAAGCAGATGTTGCTGCCCTTGCTGAATAAAATTACACTGCAGTCAGAGGTCTGCGCTGGACCCATGTTACTTTTTTCTCAGATATATTAGCAGGATAAAGTTTAAACATGACCACTAGCTCTTCCAAGTGGAATCTGTTTTTCCAAACACTTGAGCTAGTGCAGTTATCCCTCAAGCTTGCTAAAGGTATCAGAGCTACTGCAGAAATTGACATTTTTCTTCAAGGTTTTCTGTCTTTTTCTCACCCAAATTCTCCAGAGGGTAATCTGGATGGCATTTCTATTCTTTAGCAAGTATGTGATTGAAGAGTTGGGGGAACTTCATGATTATTTACATAGGTGCAAACAATTATCCATCTTAAATTTACGTACAAAACTTGAGTGACTTCCTTGACCTGACTTCTGTAGGCAGGATAGATCTTCCTTCCCTCCTGTTGCTGTAACACTTCTTGTTGCTGGTGTCATACTTCAGATGTTCTCTGCAGGAGTGAAAATTTCAGCCTCCATTATCAGTCATCCCTTTCTGATTAAAATACCAGATCCTGAAAACAAATGGGTTTTCTTCTAGTCTGTTCTTTTTTTTTTTTTTTTTTTTTTTTTAAATTTAGATTGGTTGCTCCAACAATGCAAAGAAAGCTAATAAAAGCTGAAATAACATCATGCCATTGTTTCTGTTGTGGGGTCAGGCACCAATTCTCAAAGGCAGGTGGAATCCAGCCTGGGGCTTCCATGTGGTCAGAATTTGGCCTGGCAGCCAAAGTAGCACATTTTTCCTTATGTCAGACTGAACACAAATATAAGCCTAGAACTCCTATATATCATGTCCCTTCTCCTAAAACAGGATTCATGTCTATGTGATGAGCCTTCAGTTTTTATCTTCACAGAGCCAATTTAGTTGTTGGTGATGCTTTCTACCCCTAGGGAGAAAATCCAAACACTGAAGAAAATGCAAGTTTTACTTTGGGTTTTTATGAAATGTTTTTGCTCATATTACTTTTAGAGTGGATACCAGATCAATTTTTGACTTTGGAAGTAAGTTGTTTTGGTAACTCAGCAAGATGCATTTTAAGAGTTGAGGTATTCTTACTGATATTTTGGTAGCAGAGGACTTTTTTGCTACTTTCATCCTTAGTCCTATTTTCACTTTAGTAAAGAAGTTTGTTTATAGTTATATACAGTTATACCTGCCTTTCTTCATATACTTGGTTATGCTCTTAAAACAAGCAAGCTGAATCATCTCTTTTTAAGGTTCAGTTAAGGGAAAAAGGGAGGGATTTGTAAGTCTACACATTCTTTGTAATTTAGGAAGATTATTTTAAGCAGACCAGTCAAGAACCCCATCCTTATTCTTGTTTTTATTTTCCCTAGTGAGCAGTACATTATAGAGGTCCAGCTTCCAGCAAAGATGTTTGAGCTGCTGCCACAAGAGATTAAAGAAGGAAAGCTGCTTCGCATGTATCCAGTGCTCTTTAATGTTGGAATCAATGAACAGCAAACACTGGCAGAGAGGTAAGAATAAGTCATGTTTCATTTTCTGTCCAAGTATTCCATGCTGGTACAGGTAATCTCTTAGGATTAGAAATATATCTTTTTTGTTATTTGCTCTTGGACAATCTCACATTGACTCAGTGTGTATTTTCAAAGGTATTATAGAAAATAAACACAAGCTATGAAGCAATGTAGAACAATGAAAAGTCCAGATGAAGATAAGGCCATAAGCAAAGCTTCATTTCACAGAGCTGGTGCCACATTTCTCTTGGATACAGATACAGAATGGATTTCTGTTTCACAGATGCAAAATTTTGTTTGTATGCAGTACTTTGAAATTCTCAAACAAGTTTGAAAATACAAAATTCTTATAGTCTGAACAAGTGATAAGCTAGAGAAATTGTCTCGGTTTTATAGGGCTTTTTTTCCAGGGTTGTGGAATGGTAGTTAATAATAGGGAATGCATTAGTAGTATTTTTGTAGAAATGTGAAGGCTGATAAAGTTCTGATGTGTTATTAGTATGCCTCTGCAGCAGATTGCTAGAAACTAATTAATAATAATAATAATAATAATAATAATAATAATAATAATAATAACTAATTATTATACTAATGAATTAGTATAATAATACTCAAAATTTCTCCAACGTATTGATTTTCTCTGCCAAGAAGGGGTATCTGTCGGTCATGTTAAATTACCACATTTGTGCAGTGCTAAAACTGCAAGATAGAAGTCAAGATGTCAATATAGACATCTACTTTTTAAAACTTTTTTTCTTTTAGCTGCATTTATTAGCAGAGCATCCAAAATACATAATACTTATCTTTAAGTTGTGTTCGCTACAAGCCAAAAGCTTTAGCAAAGCTGTAGCTGGAGTAATAGAGGGAAACAGTGAAAATTCTTAACCTGGACAATAAACAAGAAGTTAAGCACCCCAGGAGTTTCACCTCCTGCTCATTGTAGACAGCCAAATAAAATCAGTCTTTTAAAGAAGTCCACTAAAGAATGCCATTAGGTAGCTTTGTGAATGCTTATGGGACACTTTTCCAATTTGAGTGGTGATATGTGAGAAAATTTAGGCAGAAAATTGAAGTGGGAGACATAGACTGAATGCAAAGACAGTAAAAAGTGGAATTTTACTGGTGAAAGAGTTGGATAGTTGGTTAGAGAACTTGGGAACTTCTTGAAAATGAAAATAGGTTATTCTTGATGCCATAAAGAGGAAAGCACTGAGAGGAATAACATGGCCAAATTGAAAATGTGCAAAACCAACAAAATCAGTCATGGCAGTTCTGAGTGGGACACTCAAAAAATAAGAGATAAGACATGATGTGGTAACCAAGAAGCAAGCTAGTGGGAGCTTACATGTGTGAGATTGGCAGGAAGGACAGAGTGTTATGAATATTCTGAGGAATAATTTGACACAGTTTAGAAATAGCCTGATTACCTGGGGGCTTATAGAGGAGTTGGCATGAAAAGATGCCTGGCTTGCAAGTGAAGTGGCAGGAGGTATTGTTCCCAGTGGTCATTTTACATCAAGCGCAATGAAAGCCATGAGAGAAAACATAATAGCCACATATCTATAAATATGGATATGTACTAACATCTACTAAGAAAATAAGTTCAATGCAGAAACAGCTTATCTGCATGCAGTTACAATCTGTTTTTGTCTTAAATCAAAATATTGCTTAACTCCTAAAGTTGCACATTTGTTTTTGAGACTGTAAACATTGCACATGATTTTTGGCTAAAAATATGGAGGTTTTTGTGGGAAAAAGAACATGAGAATATAAAAACATTTCTGTGGCAAACTTCTAGGAAACATTACTCTATTAGAAAAAAACATCTTTTTATTTGTTTTTTGATAGAATACACTTGAGAATATTTTTGATTGAAAAGAAACATTCTCATGTGACAGGTCAGCAATAGCTACTGAGGAAGTAGTCACATCTTCTCCCTTTGGCCCATTGAAATATATCTTCTCTTGTACACAATATAGCGGTATATTTGATATCTTCTGATCTGTGTCCCCTTCTCTATACCTGAGTTTCTCACTTACCTGCCTATGCCTCTTCCTGTACTCCTCCATTTCTATTTCAAAGCTATTCTAAAGATGAACTGCAAAACCTTGGCCCTAACTGCCATGGGGACATTCTTGTCTTTACAATCATATCTCCTGTAGTACTGTGAGATTTATTTTCTTGGTATATGAAGTGTCACTGTTGTAGAAATCTTGATCTCAGACAGAAAGATACTTGGTTTTATAGCTATAGTTAGTTTGTAGATAAGCTTCTTTTCCATCTTGTGTCACTTCCTTATTGACCAGCTCTTATAGAAGTTAATATGCTTAAGCAACAGCAGCACTAAGAGAATGGAGGAGTTGGTATTCTCTACCTATGGTAACATTTGGAATTCCCCCAAAGTGCCTTTCCTTTTATTCAGAATTTGTGAGGGCAAAAAAATTAAGTACCTTATTGCATGTTTGTAAATAGATGGCTTTGTAAGTAAACTTTTGGAAGAAGTATGCATCAGTGATGATCTCGTTTCCATAATTAGTTCCAAAGCATACAGGAACTTAACTACTGCATGTTTGACAAAATCTAATGCATTCAGCGCTATAAAACAAGTAATATAAACCCAAAGTTATTTCTTTATCAAATAAATAATTATGAAGGATAACTTATCCTTTTTTTTGGTTTATGGGTTTTGGGTTTTTTTTCATAATTTATTGTGTATTTTCATAGGTTTGGAGATACCACTTTGCAGGAAAACATTAACCAGGAAAACTTAGAACTTCTCAAAGAATATTACAAGTTATTTATGGAAAAAATGCCTCCTGATTGTGAGTACTAATAATGCAGTGTCCAGATGGCTTTGAAAAGCTTTGGTGGGTAAAAGGTTATAAGACAGTACTACTAGCAGAATTCTATAACTTGTTCCATAAATTTAAACATTTTGTATCTGTACATGTACAGAGAAAATGAAACAGAGGAATGATGAACTGAACAGCTATTTTAAGTTAATAAAATAAGTTTCTTAATATTTCATGTAGAGGTCAGTCTGTACCTACTCTATTTGTACAGAAATACTTGGTGGGAAATTTCATCAGCTTCAGTCATACCCTTTGTTCTTACTCTGAAAATGTGTTGAGGTTTGGTGAACCACTGAGAAATCTGCAGATGCAAATACAAGCAATGAGGCACATCATCATTATATGAATAACAAGGTTTCATTAGAATAGGCCCTGTATTCCACTTCTATAGAAATTCGGTATTATAAACATAAACATTACTATGCTGTTACTCTTGATTGCCAAAAGCAAGGACTGAAAAAAACATTTGCATCAATCTAATCCTGCTAGTTTTAATGCCCAAACTATAGTACCAAATGTTGCAGATTAAACAGCCTGATTTTTAAATACTATGTAAAGCTTTGATACATCACATGCATATGAATACTTGTTTATCTCTTATATCAGGATGATTTTAATTTGTTAATAATTTTGACAGAAACAAAAGCTCTCTTCCTAAATGGTGGGCAGGATGCCCATCCATCCACCTAGTATTTCTAGGATGTCTACAGAGAAACTCATACAAGTTGGGTGATTAATTTAGGGGAATCTTCCCAAGAAAATATCCTTGAAAAACTGAAAAACTAACCTCATCCAGGTGAGGACTAAGGTAGATCTGCTACCTCATAAATAGATTTTATTTTATAAAATCAAAAATTTGCATTCAGATAATATTGGCTGCTTTTCATTAACAGGTTTGAAACTTGTACTGCCTTCCTTGCAGGATTATTAGGGACCCACACAGCTCCCGAATTTCTTCCAGATTGTGAAGGCTTTTGAGATCTAATCTTGTCTAGTTCATCACATCTTTTCTAGTTATTATAACATTCTTGCTTTTTTCTCTACCTTTAAGAACTGAGTCTCTTCTTTATACAATTTTTTATGTAACCCAAAGCACCTTTTGATTCCACTGCCCTACCCAGTAGCTCCGTGACAGTATATGGAATCACTCATTTGCCTCGGAGAAACGTACCTTTTAAATCAGCTGCATGGGAAAAAAGTGAAGCTCCAAAACTTGTTCATTTGGAGGAGGACTTTAATTCCTCTCCTGTTCCCCCCCTCTGAAAGAAAAACCTCCATACAAGGCTGGTAGCAGCCCTGGTGCTGGGGCCAAGCGAGAGGCATTCAATATTGATGGCTCTTTGATGGTTTTGTCCCACCTATCCAGATAATTTCTTGTAGTGCCAAATCTGCACTACAAAATAAATGCAGGATTGTGTTTCCAAAGCTGTTAGTTCCAAACTATGCTCATAAAGCCCAACAGAATTTGAGGACCCACAGCCCTATTTGCCAGGCTGTTGCATCCACCCTTGGCAGCCTCCCTGGCCTGCTGCTTCATTCATATATTCCCTTTCAAAGAATTCAATTTTCCACTCCCAGAAAGGTATTGCCACCTTTTCTGTTAGTTTTCCTCTTGTGTCTGTATTTCTCCTTGCTTGTAACTAAGCATCCACTGATTTTCTATCTTCTTTAAGATGAACATACACTTCATAATTTACCTATTTCTTAACCTCTTAAATTCTTTTAGCAGAAACTGAAAATAAGAGTATGTTCCCAGAAAGGTTCCTATCAAAAATGCTGACCAAATATAGCTCTGATTGAAGCACCAAAATGATACCACTTTTATAGATATGCTATATACTATAGAAATGCCATATACTAGAAGGATAGTAAGAGTCCAAAAATTTTAGTAGCACATAATTAATTGAAAACAACAAGGCTGTTTGGTACATCCAGGTTCCTCCCCCTTATGAACTGTAAGCCTGATTTGGTGGTTTAATACTGTGGGGGACCCAAGGAGTTTAAGCAATTGATCATTTCCAGTCAAGGTGCAACTCATTTGGCAGTACTCTAAATTAGGAGACTCTTGCTGTACCTGTGGTGAAGACACCCCTCTGAGATGTTGCATTTTCTGCTGTGAACCAAAGCTGCCTGGAAACAATAAAATGTTTAGTGATACATTTGCATAATCTCAAAGCATCTTTGTCATTGTGTGCTCTGTGTTTTAAAGAAACAGATGCAGCCGTAAGAGTAATAGTCTAGCAGAGTGTGATGTGTTTTTATGTGCTCTGCATTATGTAAGTGTACAATCGAACTTGTGATACACAGTTAAAACAATCCACATTAAAATTATTGCAAAACTAGGTTGGATGTAGTTTTTCCTTCTTTTTTTTTTTTATTGTTTGTTTGTGAGTTTTTTTAGACAGCACAGTGTGAAAGAAACTTAGTTCTTTTTGAATATATTTAAATTATTTCTTACTATGAATCATGGATAAGGGAAACTACAGAATTTATTAGAAGTAAAAGGTAAAAGCCTGTTGATAATAGGGATCATTCCAACTTGGAACACGTTAGGAGAATGAATATTGACCTTCATTAATACTTCCCTCATTTTTATACTTTCAATGGAGCATAAGTCTTTGGGCTTGGGTTTGGGGCCTGGGTTGTGGGAGGCTGTTTTCCCTCACTGGATGGACAATTTACTTTTTCTGCTTGAAGAAACTGTAGCCATTGATTAATTTAGTTTCACTTTGTTTCACTTGATTCTGAGCCCGTTTTTTGGTGGTAACTATAATTAAAATTTTTTTTTACTTTGCCACCATGAGAAAAAATAATTTCAGAAAACAGATTCTGCTTGTTTTTATTGATTTTCAAAAGTAGTGAAGATAAATGTAACATTATAAAAAAATGTCCTCTATATACATATGAAACAGAGAGGGAAATTAAATTGCCTACTCTTGAATTTTTGCTTGAGATGTAGGATAAATTAAACTTCAGCTTAAATGCCATACCCAGAAGAAGCAGGTAAAATTTTGGATTTTAAGTAAACTTGAAATTATTTTCTACTTCAAAATGTGTTGAAAGCCCCACTAATTTCAGGAGAAATATACTTTGTTACTTTTTAGAGGGGATACTTAATGCTGTTTAACCCTTATTTACATTATATAAAAATCTAAGGCACATTTCAAAACAATAATTAGATGTTTCAATTTGAAAACAAACCGAAAATTTTTTACTTTAAAATTTAAAAAAACATCCCATTAAAGCAAGTTGTAATACACTCAGGGTTTTTTTCCCAATTTCTATTGAATGTCTGTAATAGGTGATGAACAGAACTACAGCAGAGATTTGATTTTGTTTTTCACCATCCATTTGTAAGATGAAGGTTGAAGATACTTTAAATTTCCACATGAAGATCTTAGGGAGGCCAAAGCAATACTCGGAAAGACATAAGGTTTGCTTATTCCTTAAATATTTAGCTGGTAATTTTCATCATGTGTTCAAAAAAAAGGCTGTAAATAATAGACCTGTTATTTACCATGAGCATTCTTTAGTCAGGACAAGCATATCACCAACCTTATCAAAAATGAGCAATTTTATCATCCTTTTTTTCCAGGTTTACCACATTTTCAAGAACAAAATGATTTAAAGGAATTGCTAGAAAGTCTTCATCAAAATATCCAGGCTAAAAAGAGAAAGAATGTAGAAATCATGTGGCTGGCTGCAACGGTAAACTCTCTCGTTTCAAAAAAACTTGATGAACTAATGATGAACTCATTTTCATAAGCTTGCTGATATTGTAAGTGCAATGGATTTTAAGGATATGATTGGAGAAGTCACTGGTTAAAGGAGGCAGATGGGCTGTAATAGTTTCTAACATACTCATTCTCATAGTCACTCCTTTCACTCATAAATTTATCTCTTCTGCCTCCACCTAAATAGCGACAATTTTTTTTTTTTTTACATTTTAAACTGGTAGGGACCTGCTAGAATTTGAGTGATTTGTTTACTAGCCATTCTTTGATAAAAAGTTACTCAAAATAATTTCTTTTTTTTTTAGTGTCCTTTACGTATGATGTGGAACATGACTGCTTGCTTTGGCTTTTTTTTTTTTTTTTTGCTATTGCTACATTCAACTTTTGATTTTATGTAATTGAATTATTTCCCAAATAACTGTCACAAAAGACATGCAAAGGACAGACAATCAGACATAGGGAGAACACAAAGAAAATTGTTTATTTAACAGTGATTAATACTTATTTTACTTTTCCCCCATAATTCCTTTTTGTTTCCCAATTTTGTGGGGTTTGCACATGCATATTAAAAAAAATTAAAAGGCCAGGAGAAGAACTCTTAGATGTTTATAGAGAGCTCAGGCTTTTCAGGACTGTGAATTTCAGCCACATAGTTGTCTTATATTTATAAAAGTACCCTTGGTATCTCTGCTCCCTTATACTAGCAGGGAGTTTTTGGCATCTACTGAAAGTGAAGCAAGGCTTTGTGTTTTGGGAGAATTTCAAATGTATATACCCATCAAGGCAAATAAGTATTTAATATAAAAATATTAATAACATTTTCCAGGACTTTTTATTAGCACCAGGGAAAATACAATCTTAACGGTATTTTTGTATTAATAACACTGCTGTAACTTTCCTATTACTAATAATAACATTTTGCCATGTGGTCAATAAATATTATCACATGCTATTGCAGTGTAAATCCTTTGTAAGGAAAAATAGTTTCAAGTTTTTCTTGAAGTACCAGTCTTGCAATTACTATGAAATACTGCTTTTAAAAAAATAAAAGGTACAGTATAAACTTAGTTACAAAAGAGTGTGCTAAATCTCTGGGTATAGAAAGTTGTATTTTACCATCTATTCTGAGTTCTCTGAAAATAATTTAATGGGTAAAAAGCATTCTTTGGACATACAAATTGTTTCAGGATTTTCATTTGCTGAATTCTATTTCTTTTTAGGTTCCCTTACTTTAACTTTCTGAAATGTGTATTTCTGGTTCCAGTGATCTACACACTGTTATACTATATTCCATTTATTTCTTGAAAAAGATGTAAGAATAAAACTTTTTCAGCGCAGTAGCTGTGCAATATCACTTTTTTTATTGCATGGAATACCTGATATAATTGGACCATAAGAATAAATTTAATAGAAGTTGTCTAATTCCTGTCCTCCTATGTCTCCCTACATCAGAGCCCATCACTCATACAGAATAATTACCTGAGATTTTTTTACTTTATTTTTTAATGATTTTTTAATATTTTCAATATTTTTTAGGACTCATTCTCATCAAATAGCCCCATGAATCATGGACTTCCAAAGATATTAGTGCAAAGAGAATTAATCTCTTCAATGAAACACTTAACTTCTTTCACACCATTATTCAAGAAAATTACCCTATAGTACATGTTTTAAATCCCAGTGCAACTGTTCAAATTTTAAAACAGATTTAACTTTTAAAATTTTAAATTATAGGATGGAAGAAACACTCATAGGTTCTCCTTCACTATCCTGTAGCTCTTTGAGTTCTAAGTAAGATTCCTTTAGTTGTTTCCCTAAATTAAACTTTTGAGATTGCCCTCACCATGGTATCACAAAGAACTTAAAGACTCTTAAGTATTTTCTAATTTTAATAGATTTCAATAGTATTTATTGATTTTAATAGAATTTATGAGAATGCAATTAGCAGATGAAGAAACACTTATTTGCTGAACTGACATGGTGGAGATTATGTTCCAGTTCATCCTGTGAGCTCTCCCATGATAGCCAGTGTGGGAAGTTCCTTTTTGTGATTACTGCTGTAGTTTATTGCCTTGCCCTGTTCTCACAAACATTTTGAGGTGTCATACCTGTGATTCTCCAGGGATAGGTGTAAGCAAAGTATTACCTTTTCTCAGGATAAATTATATCTGGGGAAAGGTAGACCCACACTTGGGAACAGCAGCTGTCCTTCAAATTTTTATTTTTCTAGTAAAATATTGTTTGAAACCGAAGTTTAAACTAATGGGATGGTACAACCACAGGTTGATTCTTAAAGGGATAAATCTTCCTCCAAAATGTCACATTTCCTTTATGCGTTATAACTTTTTCAAAGTATAAGTGAAAGTAGACAATCCATGGCAGTCATTTGTGTTAAACTTTATTAAATGAGAGTCATACATTGAACAGTTTACCTGTTGAAGATAAAAAACTATTTAAGTTCAGATGTGTCTGGCTCCATACCTTCACAAGAAGTTAGTCTGCTGCATTCATGTTTGTGAATCAAGGGGGTTTTTTATTCATTAGTTATTGAGACAATTAAGCTTTCAATGAACAGGGTGGTTGCTAGATTAAGTGAGGAAAAAGATTTGTAGGGGCACCACCAGGGGCATAGCCTGCCTGGTGGAGAAGGGCTAACCTGTGTGCCCTACCTGTGTCTCAGATTTGCCGGAAGCTGAACGGAGTGCGCTTCACCTGCTGCAAAAGTGCCAAAGACAGGACATCCATGTCGGTGACACTGGAGCAGTGCTCCATCCTGAGGGACGAGCACCAACTGCACAAAGACTTCTTCATTCGGGCGCTGGATTGCATGAGGAGGTAGGTGGGGCTTCATGCACTTTGAGCTAGGCTAGGACCGGCAGCACAGAGGGTTTAAGCTTAAGGCTGGTTCTAAATGCCCAGTAGAGCCCAAGCCTGGCTGAGCAGCAGCCCAACTGTTGGTAAGTCACCTCTGGAGTGCAGGGTCTTTGCAGCTGTAATTAGCAGTTTCTGAGCTAGATATGTGAAACTTTGCAAGGGTCAGCTCACTGACTGTAGAATCTGAGCAGCAGTCTGAACAGCAGTTGCTTTAAAAAAAAAGTTATATTTCAGTTTTGAGTGTATTTTTAAAAACATTTGCACAGTCATTAAATAATTTTTTCAACATTCACACAAATACTGAGAAAGCAAAAAAACCCCATTTGTTACAGATGGCAATTCTTACTAGTCTGTGTTATTGAAAAGAAACCTCAAAGTAGGTTTGGACGGGTGGTGTTTGCTGTTAATATCTGATAAAATCTTTACTGTGCTTTAGATTAAGTTGATTAAAACATGTTTTATTCTAAATTGCAACTATGCCGAAATTGAGGCTGATGTTATCATGAATGTGTAATTAAAAGATGTAAAGATTTCTCATTGCCTGAGTCTTTGGTGAATAAAAAACCTCATTGAGAAAACCAGATTTGATCATAAAATTAATCCAGATGCTAGATTATCTAAAGAAACTTTCATCATTAGTTTTAATGAGCTTAATCATATAGTTTTAAGCATATCATAAAAGTTTTAATCATATTGTCTATAAGAGTTTTAAAACATGTACCCCCAACATTAGAATAACATATAACAAAGGTCACTGCAAAACTAATAGCAATTATTTTGGTCAGCCTGCAAAGAAGTAGCTGAATCGTATCTTGGACTTTTGTGAAACACAAATTGTTTTTATGGTGGATTTGTAAGGGTCAAATAAGTAAACAATTATGTTTACAGTCTATAATGGGTAATTCTTCACCTTTGTATTTATTATTGGCAAAATAGGTGTTTAATGTGTCGATTAATACTGTAGGTTTGCCCTTTGTCCTTTGGCAAAGATAGCTTTTCTAAGAAAAAAGGTAATTTGATAAAGAGTAAATTAGCTGAGATTGTTTAGTTCACAAGGTGCTGCTAATGCAGTGAAATGTGGTGTGCTGAACTGAGCTGTATTGTTTTGGATTTATTGTCCTTCGCATAAATCCCTCAGTCTCTGTAGCAATTAAGTGAGTGAATGAGTTTTGTGCAGTCTTTCATAACTACATGTTTTATCATTAATGAATTCTGAGTTTTCTGTGTTAAATTTCATTTGTTGGCATTTCAAATGCTTTTTTTTTCCTGTTATGTCTCCAATAAATATAAAAGTGTGTAAGCTACAGTAAGTTACCAGGCACAGGAAAACTAATTTATTACATAAAATCACCATAATGTTACAATAGCATTGAGAAGAGTAGTATTGATTGGAAAATTTTCCCAGACATGAATATAATTTTTAAAAACCCTGCACTGGTTAGTAAAAGAAAATCTAGTAGGTTTTTGTAGATCAAAATATAAATGATTTTGAGTAGGTTTATGTCATGTGTCTGATTTGAAACTTGAGCTAATGAATACATCAGTTGTATTTGCAGGTAACAGTAATTTGAAGTCACAAAACAATGGTGTAAAGACAAAAAAATCTGAATAATACTTAAAAATTAAACCAGCAAATGGGTACATGAGGTTGAAGCACCATTACAAAAATGTAAAATCTATCAGTTATACTGTAGTTTAAATCAGAGAAAAGCTTTATCCTGCTCTTATCCTGTATATGAATTTCAGAATTGAACTAAAGTAGGTGAAAGATGTTTTGGATAGGAGGTGATGACTTTGACTTGGGTGATAGGATTGTGTGAGGATTAAAGCAAAGGCTTTGCAAGTGGTGGCAGTAGCATACAAAATAATTAGCACCATCAGGATAATCAAGAAAGAAATAAATCTTCTAACTATGCTAGGTGCTATCAGTCCAACACTGTTCACATGACTAGAGGTTTAGAAATAAAATTTCTTTAAAAACCAGCTAAATTACTCATTTTGCCTCCAAAATTACTCTTCTTCCCTCCCAAAATACTCTTTTTCCTTCATGAGTTGGTCAATGAAAGCCAAAAAATTCAGAACCGAAGAGTAAAAACCTCAAATGGGAGCATAGGATTTCACCCCACAGTGCTCCCATTGAGAGTTGGCCTGGCAGTTTAAGATGTGTCTTTGGGTTGGGGGTTTTTGTATCTTTGCTGCTATTTTCCAAAACAGGGTTATGCAGATACAAATTCAGCAGGAACTGCTGCTCACTCCCCTGGGCTGGAGCAGTGTTGAAAGGGTCACAGCACTGCTGCCTGGGTGGCCTGGCAGGGATCCTCCAGCTGGGCATTGCTCTCCTTCCCAACACCTGTCTGCAGATGGAGAAAGGAGCAGCGCAGAGGAAGGCATTTTGAGACAGTAAACTGGGAAGGAAAGAGCAGATAGGCAAGGGAGAGGAGAAAAACTCCTTGATTTCCACATGTGTTTAGCTAAATGTCCTGTATTTCACTTGGGGGAAGTTTGGCAACTGTGTTTTTGAGGCTTCTGTGAATGAGGTCAACAGACTTGTTTGGTAGCCATTGTGGCACTTGTCCTTTTGTAGTTTCTTTTTTATCTGCTTACTTTTGCAGATCTGAAAGATAATGCTGTGCATTTCTAAAATTTCATTAGGTACTTTTAGAAGCTTTTAGAATGATTTTCACATCTAAAAGAACCTATTTTCTTTCAAGGGCAGACAAACTATTTGCTGTTTAATTTGCAATTTTAGCAGTTTTTTCCTCAATGAATCTTCTCTAGATCACTTTATTAAACTTTGTCAATCAAATCCCTTTGTGTTGATGGCCACAAATTGCTTTTAAGCCTTTCAGAAGGACAAGACATGAAAAATTCAATTTTAACATCCAGAATCGTAACCGTTTGGATTGACCTTTGAAAGGCTTATGTTAAGAGTTAACAGTAGGACATAAAGACTACTGTGAAACTAAGTGAGCTGTAGAAGTAAATGGTGATTCAAAAGCAGACTTTATTGGAAATGCCATAATTTTGAGATATGAAAATCATAAAGGTACCTGTGTGGCTGTATGACTTTTTCTTTGTCTGCCAGTGCTGACACAGCTTTTGCTGTTGGAAAAGGAAAGCATGTGCTTACAGGTTTGTGCTTTCTTGCCACTAGAAGCTTGGAGATGCTGGACTTCTGTGTGCTGCTTCTTTTCAGCTTCTTCAAGGTCCCCAGAATTTTGAGCAATCCAGAAGTGATTCCAAAGTTTCAGCATATTTGCTGAAATACATTGCATAACCCTGTTTTGAAAAATAAGGCCTGTAGTTGTTTTTTTAGACTTAGTTTGTAAGTGGAATCGTTATCTTTTAGTGATAAACTGTACAATGTTTATTACTTCTTTATAAAAAAAGGCTGTATGAGAATCCTTCTATTAGTTCTTCCTTTCACATATGAAAAATGTGGTGAATGAAGCAATGATGGGAATGCATGCTTTATCATTTACAATATATAATGGATGGCTTTATCCTCAGTAATAAGTCTGGCCATTATGATGCTGCAATTGATGTGTACCTGAAGCAGCCATTCTATAAATAATTCCACATATTATAATTTCCTTGATACAGGTTTGTGACTTCCATTGATCTTAGTGACATGCATAGTGCAGAATGAGGAAAATCAATATATCATCCCCTCTGTATCAAGTGCTTGTGATTCGCATCATATTAAAATACTGTTTATAATGTCTCTGCCACTTCCAAGTCGCTTTTTACAGGCATCAATATTCTTATTTTTCCCTTCACCCATACATGAATGCTTCCTATCATTCAGTGTTAACTCTATTCCAAGAGACAGAGAGGCACAAAACTGATTTACCTGATGCATTGCAGTACCTGTCACATGATTCTATTTTTTGTCTTTAGAACTGGCTACTGTTAAGGGAGAATGGACCCTGGTGGGCAGTGTATAATGAAGCAGCTCTGTAAAATTTTTTTTTCCTTTTTCAAAATTTATTTCTTTTCTGAATCTGTTTAGCTTTCTTGTTTAAGGGACAGGATCCATTTTGGAGGCTGTGGGTAGCGAATAACCTCAGAATCTCCTGCATGTTTCCAGTAAAGCTTCAAGGTAGTAACAAACAAAGGAAATGACAAATCCACCATCTATGGTGAATTCTCCATGCTGTTAGCCTTATCATCATTAACAGGGCACAACACCTGTCACGTATTTCTGACATTGAATACAAAATCTGACTCAATGTGGGACACATTGTTTCCACTTGAAATGGTTAAGGATATTTCTGGGTATTTTAGATAAATTGCCTATCAAAAATTTCAGTGAGGCACAATTTCAAAGAATGAATGCTCTGAACAACAAGTATTGGGCTTTTGATGAGTCAATTATGAAGAAAATATCTCTTTTTTTAAAGAGCTGTTTGGGGACAGCTTTGCTTAAAAATGAGTGAGTTGAGGAGGAAGAATAGCTGTAATAGCTCTTTAATCAGGGTCTTCCAAGTGTTCTGGGTGTTGAGGTGGACCTTGGCGAGGGAAGAGCCTGTACAAAACACCAGAGCTGTAATTGGCACATCGACTAGGAAGGAGGAGCAAAGGGACAGGATTACAGACAGGGATGATCCATGTGCAAAATCTCTCTGTGCCTTTCACCCATCGCCCAGCTTTCACCCTGCCCTTGTGAGCTTGTGGCAAGAGATGCAGCACGTGAGGAGCTGCACAGAAGAGGAGGCACAAGTTCTCCTCTAACCTTTTTCCCCAGCCCATCTGACCTTCTCCACCTTTTCTTTTTTCATTTAAAAGTATAAGCACAGTGCAAACAAAACTTTAAAAAGGTGAGCCTGTCTTCCAATATAGATTTTTACATTATTCTATGTCTCATCAGAAACTTAACATCTCTATTTTGAGGTGGAAACTGTAGATTATTTGCATCACCTGATGTACTGATAGGAGCCTGGGCATTAAGTAACAGTAAG